CCATTGATTTTCAGAGAGAGTAGAAGGGAGGGGAGAGAGATACAGAGAGATACATCGATGTGAGAGACACATCAACTGGTTGCCTCCCACATGTGTCCCAACTGAGGTCGAGATGGAGCTTACAAGTCAGGCACCTGTCCCCAACTGGAATCTACTCCTGGACCTTTCAGTCTGAGGGCTAACGCTCTACCCATTGAACCAAACTGTCTAGGGCTTATAGCATCATTTTAATGGCTATATCATATTCCACTGATATGTGTATATCATGTTGTATTCCACCAATTCCTTGGTGTTGGTCATTTGGTCTCCTTATAAGGAATATTCTATCAAGGACTCCAGTATGTTTTGAAGATAAATACTTGTGATGAAAATATAAAAAATTATATGCTATAAAGCAAAATTCTGGAATATATCCTGACCTCATACATCCCCTAATGAAGCTTAATGGAAATATTTGTTTTTGAAATAAAATTTCCCATGCATTGTCAGCTATGTTTAGTTAGTCATTCCTGAAGATCTTTGGGGAAAATCTAGACCATCTTTCTTCGAGATTTATTGGTAGTAGATAGTGGCAGAATGTCAAGGGAAATGATATGTGTATACAACGTCAAAAAGTCCAGAATACCACCTCTACTTTTTCAAATCAAGATGTATCTGTTGTCATAATACCATATTGCTGGTTTAGCTTTTTTTTTTTGTCAGTGCGGTTATTGTTACTTCATCTGTGGCTTGTTTCCAAAAACAATGAGTGAGCCTCCGCAAGATAATCACTAGAGTATCTGATTCTTTCATGAGTAATGGGTCAGGAGAATGTACTAAACAAACAGTTTAGTTTGAATGTATTGCAGGAGATCGAAATTATCTGTATAAAATGAAGTACGATAAAACAATAGAACTCACATGATTTGTCCTACACAGGACAACAAAGTCTGACATTCTTATTTTGTTTAAGAAGTAGTAATTTAGAATTGTACATTCAGGAAGGATATAGAATGTAATTTTGGCAGATTTGATGTTGTACAGATATAATATGGTGCTTGAAGCTTATAATATGAACAAATCCATTTACCTTATGGTTGACTATGAGGTAAACTTGCAAGAATGTGTCCATGTTACGCTCATCTACTATGAGAAGTACTTTTGGACTGTAAACCCAAAGGAAAAAAGTGGTAAAAAGGCCTCATGCATTTCAGTTTACTTGGTTAGCATAAGTGAGGCAGAGGTACATTTGTAATTTGGGGAGTTATAACATAAGTGGCTACATTTAATCAAATGACCATCAAAAGTGGGATTATTTGGGAGGCATCCCCTCTTCTTTATGGTTAAATTTGATTGACTCATATTATTAAAGCATTTTTGTTCAGAAGAGTAATGGAATCTAATAACCCTCCATTTTAACTCAATGACCTTAAATCAGTCAATAGTATGATTCAAGGTCATTGAAAAAGCTAGTCTTTCAGAGAAAAAAAAATTCTCTTCTTTTCTAAGCAGATTCTTGCTCTCAGGTCACACAGGAGGTGCATTTCTTATCTCCCTATTTCCTTTGAAAAGATGAGAAAAAAAGTTCAGGGACCTAAAAAATCCTGTTCAGTTTAAATAATGAAATTAGGGTTAAGGGGCCTTTGCTACTCAGGTTTACCGTCCTTTCATAAAGCCATCAAATAAACTCAGCTTATTCTTTCAACAAATGTGTATTGAGTGCCCTCCAAGTGTCTTCTAGGTCTCTAAATTTTTGGAGCTTAAAATCTTTTGAGGTAGACAGGTAAACAAAATGAAGAATTAAGGGATGTCTATGAAAGCAGTAAGTACAGAGTATAGGGATGGAGAAGGAGAGGTGGAGAGAAGAAAGAGAACCAATTCAGACACGGTGGGGAAGGAAGGCCTCTCAGCTAAAAGCTAGGGAGAAGCTGCATTCACAGGCCTCTAACAGAGTCCAACACATAGTAGAACCTCAATAAACATGTGCAGAATTAATGCATAATTGAATGTGTGAGCAAAAAGCACTTGGGACCAGCTGGGGAGCAAAGAGGAGGTCATGATAGAGATTTTTGATTTTATATGTCATGGGAAATCATTTGAAAGTTTTAAGATACAAATAATCTGGATTTTGATTTAAAAGTTTGCCTAACGTTACCCTAAATAGCCTAAATCAGTGGTCGGCAAACTGCGGCTTGCGAGCCACATGCGGCTCTTTGGCCCCTTGAGTGTGGGTCTTCTACAAAATACCACGTGCGGGCGCGCATGTACAGTGCGATTGAAACTTCGTGGCCCATGCGCAGAAGTCGGTATTTTGTGGAAGAGACGGTATTTTGTGGAAGAGCCACGCTCAAGGGGCCAAAGAGCCGCATGTGGCTGGCCAGCCGAGGTGTGCCGAGCCGCAGTTTGCCGACCACTGCCCTAGTGGGACAGAGAAGAAGAAACCTCTGACCCTGGGCTAGAAACTGTCTGGGGCTCTGGGGACAGAGTTCATCTTTAGGGCCAGGACCATCACCAGAGTCTAATTTGGAGGTGACATTCCTTTGGCCAACCCAGAACAGTAGTTGCCTGTGAGGGACCTCTTTCACTACCTCAAAACTTTGAGACCATGGTAGATCTTAAAATGGGGACTGACACTGAAATTAAGGGCCAGGTTAGGGCCAGGTTAGGGCCCATAAAATGACTTAGCTAAGATCATTCAGAAAGTTGGGGCCAGAACTCAGGCCTCCTGATTCCAAGTCCTATACTTTTTCCATTGTATCTTTGGGTTGGGATAACTTAGTTTGGAAGCCACCCAGATCTATCCAAGGAAATGTGGAAGAGACCAAATGTTTGATCAAAGGCCATGTGGGCACCTGACAGCAGGGTGTTTTGTTTACCCAACAGCAGAGGCTAGAACCCACCTGCACCAAGTCAGAGAACAAGAGGGAGCTGATAATCTGGGGAAGCTTCCCATCAACCCTTGCAGCAGGCTGGGAGCCACTCCATTCTGGATTCTTCTCCTAGTAGAATTTGTTCTTAACTGCTTGTCATGGAGTCTTCCTTCTCTTGGTTCCAGGATTAGCCAACAATGGCTCAAGAGGTCACCAGCTGACTCTATGATCTTTGACTCTTTCTTGCCCTGAGAGCTAGACAGAAGCTCAGTGCTTCTCCAGTCTAGTCTCTTCTTTTTACAGATGAGGAAACTGAGGCCTAGAATTGACATTTTATAAGGGACTCTTGAATATTAAAAGGCTTTGAGGAATAAGAGGCCAAATAAAAAAGCTACTTCAAACAACATGATGGGAGGAAG